ACTGCCCCCCACCCCCACCCCTCCTCGGCAAGTCAGGCTCTCTGCCTTTAGAGACTCATCCTGCGGTTGCAGTTGGTTGGCTATGGGGTCGCAGTGTGACTCCTAGGTGAGTGTTGAAATACCAGCAAAGAAACGAGCGGACGAAACATCCGAAGAAATCCATAACTGGGCCTCAACTGAACAAGAATTCGAAGAAGCGAGACATTGGTGCGCGGGTGAGAGCTCAGAGATACGGAATGAAAGAACAAGAAGGCTCCTGGAAGAAGCGAGACGATAAAGCCTGGTCTTATACAGAATGAACATGACGCATCAAACCTGGGTTCATGGGCACGGAAGTGATGACACTTTTCGCCCCTGGATATGTAAGACAACTTCTGTGAGCGGCATTCCTTTGGCTCATGACGACTGCAGCGTCCTCGTCACCTCCATGAGAGCCGCAAAAACTGGGACAACCACTGACTTTGCGGGCCCGACTAAGTGTTCAAGGAAGCAGTTGTAACTTATCTCTCAAGTTGACGCGGAACTGGCTTAGCAGCTTTAGTCTAATAGTAATAATGAGATTGAACCAATAAAATTAGATAAAATTATCGAATAAACACGTAAGAAAGTAGCAATATCACATGCCCCTCCTAATTATTATTCGTAAAAGAGAGTAATAGAATGTTCCAGTCGCTAATGGGTTATGGATGTAAAAAAGCAGTTTTCCCACGTTTACGGTGGAACGGTTGTGAGTGCATTGCGACGTGTGAGATTCTCTGCAGCTAGTTCTCATCACTTTATCGGAACTGCTAGAGAGGACTGAGCGCTTGATGAGGTAGTGCTCCTCTCCTGAGCTTGAAACACTTTGAGGCCACAGAAGAAAAGATCATGTCGAAGCCGAGCATGAAATATTCCATTGAGGAATTTTCAGAAAGCACAAATATACTCGATTGCATGGCACGTCCTGCCTTTGGGGTAAATTTTTGAACAATACGACCACCACCTCAGATTTCTCCCATTTGGTATCTTCCCAAATTCTCCTGACTTCCTACCTTTTTTGCGGAGTTTCCGGAATTGCCTGGAATTCTCCTATACCCCCCCCCCACGCCCCGACACTCAAAAAACTAAGTGCCGCCCAGCGAGAGGGAAGGGTCAGGAGGAATCACAGCGCATTTGAAGCAGGAAAATTCGGGAAAAAATTCAACAACCAAGAACATTTCTCTCAAAGATAGATAAGACCCTCTCCCTCCCCACTCCAGCGACCAAATACGACCCCTCTCGTTGGAGATACCCAAAGTACACGTGTCCTAATTGGAAGGCATTGCCGCCTGCAAAGATGGAAAATGGATTTCTGTTAAAACCCGATAAGGTCATTGGTTTACCAACTGGTTCCTTGAAACTGACCTCTTAAGCCTTCAAATTCAGAGTTTCTCTGGGTTTACTTATAAATAATCAGTGTCACGCATTAAAAGTCAATTTTTACGACTGAATCACGGAAGAGAATGTCATTTCCCTGTAACAATTAATGCCATTTATTCTCGAATCGAACTGTATTTTTATTTCTTTTTCATATCCACTTATATTTCTTTTCACAAAATACGTCTACCGTACCATATGATGTCCATGCCAAACAAAGGCTAAGTGTGGCTCCGAGCGTTAAAAGAATTTATTAGTTTGGCCCATAAGTAATGACGTTTTTTCTATCTCGAAATTTCGTGTGGAAGGCGAAGCGTTTTGTAAACGATTTTTATATTAATCGATAAAAAATTGCATGCCTTATAAAATAGTATGCAGGTGGTTTAATGAGGGTTACTTATGAAATTCCAGGCCAGGAAAACGCAGTGCTCAGTCAACTAGTCGACAGCATTTTCGGAACCTCTTTTTTTTGCTTTAATCGAGGTGTCAAAGCTGCAGAGCTGCTTCAAGGGTGTCACGTGTGAAGACGAGAAAGGAGTCCTCTCAATACGGCTCTATCCCGGTTGAGGTGATTCGAGAGGGTAAATTTTGGCTTTATTTACATGCATCGGCTCGGAAGCCTTCTGGGCTCGACTACGGGTGACTGCAAACCGTGCACCAACTTTTCAAAACTTTCTCATAGGAAAAAAGTGACACTTGGTAATACCCTAAGAGCGCTCCGTAATCCCTGATATTTCTCCCTCGAAACGGACCTTCGTAAGTAAGCTAATTCAGTTGGCACTCATCGATCTTGAAGGCAAATCCCTTCACTGCATATTGTGGATAGTAGCATTCGATTACAAACCTATAGTCGCCAAAAGCTTCTTTAAGGATGAAAAAGCAAAAAAAAAATTGTAGAACACCCTAAAAAAAGACCCCTGGCACGAGTTTTCCGGACCTGCCCGTTGTTCGTCACTGAAGCGATATCCTGCTGCCTCTGGCTCACTAATCGCTTCTTCGCTTTATCCAGTGCTAGTACATCTAACAGGAGGGAAAAAACGAAAAATAGGTGAAAAACTGAGCTGTCGACATACAATAGCTTTTCAGTTTTGATGGGCGGGGCAACTAGGGAGGCTTCAGAACTGCCAATTATGATGGCAGCAGCGTCTGGGTTACTTACTGTGAAACAGCGGAAGTGGGACAACCTAAGGGAAAGGGTGTTAATGAATTGCTCGATCGCAGGACTGTCCTGGTCCGTAAATGCCTGAAAGGTCTGAATCGATTTCTAAGAATGGTTCAGATCGATTCAGAGCCCTTCTAAGAGGATTCCTTCTTGATCAGGCCTTTGCAGAAGAGCTTGTTCCTCTCGGGGCTCTCGGGAATGAATGCAAAAAAGAGGTCCGAAAGTGTTTATCTTTGTCGATTTGACTCTCCATTTTAATGAACTGAAAGTTAAAGTTTGAGCCATCACTGAAAAAGCTAAGAAGATAGTCTTACAGTGCGTAAAATTTCCTATCAGATGATGCAGCACTCCGGAAAGCTATAGGGCGTTGACGCGGAGCGTATTGGAGCGCAATCAGGGCTGAGCTACACACAGTTGGCGAGAAATCTGCCCTGCCCACGCGCCAAGCCACGCCGTTGTCCTACGCCTTATCGTTTGCTGGGATCATGACTGTATAACGCATTTGTGACACAGTTCATTTTTAAAACGAAAATACAAGTTAGAAAAAACAGAACTTAAAGGCAGTTGGCACGATAAATCGCTATACAGGTGTAGGATTTGTACAACTGGCTTAACAGAATTCCGTGACCTCGGACAGGCGCTGCGTGAAGCCTTTTCCAAGGAGGGTACCTCTATAACGCCCTATTGAGCAACAACTTTACGTCCCAAACGCCTTCCTTGCCCGCCCGCCCACAAACGGACGACCGTTTCTGACGCTCGTATTCATTCATTTGCTGAGCAAATTATGAAGCAAAGGGATTGGTATGAAGCGGCGGTGATGCTGCATGCATATATGGGTACACATATGCAGCCGTATCTTCGGTAGCGGTGATTGGCAAGATGCGTACGGGAAACTCGTCCGAAATCGATTTACAAGTCACTGAGAACGGAGGCTTTTTCTTCGCCGGATTTTGACCGTTTCACTCCGTTCTTTCGCCATTTCCCCACTATACAGCGCCCTACTAGCATTTTAGGCTAAGTAGGAAACCATCGTGCCAACTGCCTTTCAAGGAAGAAAAAACTCCCTACTTGAGCGCACCGCAGATGAAATAAAGAGCTCAATTCTCACTGTACTTATTAATTTATCACTAAGTAGAACACGATCCTCATGCTTTCTACTTCTTCGCAACCTATTCGAGTTCGACTCCGCCCCCTCCTTCTCACACTCTCACTCTCGCTGTTGTCTTTTCTCACCCAATGGAGGGAGCTCTTCCTTCGAATACCGCCTACTGCGTGATTTCGGCAGCACTTTCGGCTCTGTTCTGCTGCGTTGCGTTCTGAGTCAGTTCGAATTTCGCACACGTCATAACTAACTCTTACTACAACTACAATCTACCGTATACTTAATTAATCAACACTGGTTCCGCTTTCTAGACGTATGAACTAGAGTAGCGCACAACTTCCATACCTTTTCTCTATGGCTCTCGATAAGCGTCTTGTTTTGGCGGATAACTTCATTTCTACTGGTACCAACTGCTAACAAAGTAACACGCATACGCCAATTTAGTCACATATAGGCTCAATCAACAAAAACATTGCTTTCATACACATGACTGCATTTGGTCTGGTCTCCCTCGACATTACTTTTCTTGATTAGATTTTTATACGGCAAAGACTTCATGGAAGAATACGGTCGGCTTCGTTTTCCACATTTTTACAGCCCACTCCAGACAGTACGATTTGGAAGCCAAAAAACTTTCCTTGTTGTGCTTCCCTTAATCGGATTTGACGTAAACCGGGATTTGATCAGAGCTCAAGGTTTCTTTACGATGGAGGAGGAATAATACTCAAAATTTTGGGGCGGGGTCGTACTTTGGAAAATCTCTTGTCGCCATTCTGCGCTCCTGCCCGGGTTCCTCTCCTGTCAGTCTCACACCTTTCCAAAAGACAGGGCCTTGTTAATTCAGTGCGCATCGTTGTGAAGCTCTCAACGAGCTCACTATCAAATCGCCTGACAGGGATCGTATCCATGGAAAATTTACGGAGGGGGGCTCACGCCTCGTGTGGTTGTGCTCTGAGAAATCGTTTATCGCCTTCCTACGCTTTTGCCCGGGCGCTCTTTTCCTGTAAATCCACACCTTGTTGAAGGCAGGGCCATGTTGTATCAGTGCACATCTTTGTGGAGTTCGGAAATAGCTAGGGAAGGATCGTGGTAATAAAGAATCCTTACTTGGCCGTATTTACTCCCCTTAAAAACCTCCACCCATATATTTGAGCATTACTGGCCTTTATTATTGGTAGATACAGTAATCTTAAAATTGTACCGAGAATTCAGGGCTGGGAGGGGTAGGGAGAGCTGAATTGACCTTTGGATCAACTGAGGGGAGGGGTTGTAGCAGAGCCGGCAACAGATGAGCTCGTTCTGATCGCCTACTTTCCTATGAAATTTCCTGTATTGAATCGTTTTCACAAGAATGACCTTTGCCAATATCCTAATCAAATCTGCTCGGAATACAGCCTCTGTGAAACCTCAGTCAGATCAGTTAGAAAACTAGTACTTTTTTAGGTAGTATGATATCGACACGTGCTGTACTGGCTCTATTTTATGTGCTTCTGTTCGGCATAGCCATCGTCACGTCAGCACCAAATCGCATTTTCATGCGCTTTGGAAAACGGGCCGTCGATCCAGTCAATTACCGTTTCCCTCTACCTGGCGAGTACATCCCAATCGAGTTGCTCGGGTGAGTTACAAAAAATCTTTGCAAAATTCATAACTGTGTTCCCAGGTCCAGCCAATCTACTTTTCACCACATAATCGAATTTATGGTTTCCTAGAAGGCAAAAGTGCAGGTTCCAATGTGTTAGGCAAGTCGTGTAGGGCATAAGCTGGTCATGCGGCTGTGATTGGTTGCCGCGAAAGGTGACCAATCACAAGCTCACTTGGCATATAGTAACCTCTTCCCCCTAATAGGTAAGAACACTAGAACACCACTTTGTCAGTGGCATTTACCTGTGATTGGTTACTGCAAACGACGACCAATCACGAGCTCACTTGGCATGTATTAGGCCCCTCCCCCTTGCAATACTTTTGGCGGGTAGATTTTCACATTTTGTACTTAATATTGGGCCAATTCAAACGGAATCTTGTAATTCATATATTTCAGAACGTCACGTTTCATCGATGGTGACATGTAGAAGACGAAAGTACATTCAGATGATATCAGCAATGGCAACGCGGTTGTATTCCTATACGATTGATCTCTTTTTTTGAAGCCCCAGTTGTTTTCGCATTTGCGATCTTTCTCCGATATTTTTCTTCTGCCCAACTTCATTTTCGACGACGATTCCCTCAACTCCCAAAATTTAAAAAAACGTCATCGATTTCCTTGTCATTTTGATGGTATAAGCCAATAAAACTCTCGTTAAACGCTATCAGTCGCGTACCTTTTTCACGATTTTTGTCTCATCGTGATCATTCACACCGACTTCTGAAGATAGGTATAGGTGGTCGTCGGCTGTCAGGTAGTAACGAGCTGGACGTAAACCATTTCGATCCAGTATAGCACCCACATAACGACCATCAGAAAATGCCAAAAGCGCTGAAAGTACCAGTATAAATCATGAATACCTGGAATTGACCAAGGTTTCGACAAGCGCCAAATAGCACCCTTGGACTAAGGCATTTTCAGGCTGATCTCAGTTTTTTAGAAAGTTTCGACGCATACTTGCAGGTACTGGGTAAGTTACCCATTAAAATACATCAAAATGGTGAAAAGTAAATAATTCAGGGAGGGTAATTAAATCTTCGCTCGCCTCTTTCTCTGAACATACTAATGAATACCAATTCCAACGTCAATTTTAACTCGGTGTAATATGTCACAGGAACAGAGAGGGCTTCAAGGATTCATCGTTGGGATCCTCAGTGAAGTCGCATACAGTGGCTGGAGATAGGGGGAGGCGAATTCCCTTGTACGTGAAATTCTTTTTGTTGTTGAATTTTACTGGTTTTTCCTGTTTTAGGAGCGCTATATTCACCGGCTCGACAGCGTTTTTTTTGGGGGAAAAATGGTAGAAAGTCTGGGAAACCTAGGAGAATAGTAAGTAGGGGAGGAATGGAGAAACAGGTTCTCAACAGAGGAGGTAATCATGAGCTGGGGAGTCAAGTGTTGCAGGAAGTTTCCCCGTTCGGACATCCCCTGCCATGTACCCCTTCCCGCACGCGACGATTTTGGACATTTAAATAGCCAAAAAGGGGGTGGATGGGGGCCTATAAGGTTTGCTGAGAGCAAACAGCATAAATGGGAACGTGTGAGACTTTCTGAATATCAGTAGAGTCTAAGGAAGGTAGCCAATCCCCACCCTCTTCTCCCGCGATCGACAATTTTTTTATGGACATTGGACGTAATTATAAGTGAAAAGAGAGTTAAATGCAGCTTAGGTTAGGTTTTCAGGCTTTGAGGGTGGGCAGAAATAGAGGGGTACGTTGAAAGGGCAATACGTCGTGCGACAGTAGAGGCCGATCACACTGACCGATCAATTCTCCTCGGCGTCATGGCGTATCCCGGTTGCTTGCTCCATTCGCCGCGCCTGTGTCGCGCGCAGCACGCCACGAATCCGCGCGACGTCGCACAATGACCTATCGATGGCGGGGTCATGCTTACGTCTAAAAATCCTTGACGTCGTAAAAAACACTTGGTCAGGATTTCTAAAAAGTCGATTTTTCTGTTTTGACAGCACTATTTAAATATCTTTCCTTGTACCTTCACCTCTTTTACCCTTCAGTTTTTCTGATACTTTTTGATTGATTACCCCTTCACCGCCTTCCCCCACCGCGCCCACCCTCTACCCACGCTCGACGGAAACCGCGACCGTATCTGTGGAGAAATACTTGAGGTGGCGGTGGTGGGTGTATACCACATCCCTCCAGCACTTTCAGCCCGCCCAAATGAAAAAAAAGAAAATTTCTCGTGACGCTATCAGTACAAACCTAGCCAAAAGACTTTGGAAACAGCAATATTGTCACACCTAACATGCTGACGACAAAGATTAGCTTCAATGAAAGGCAACATCTGCCGATAACTCTCCTCGGCAAACTTGTAAGTCTTATGTGTATCCACAGCGATCAATGAAACCCGTTAATTTCGAGATTTTAAGCTTTGAAGTAGGCAGACAAGGGGACTCGCTCACGAGAGTCAACAATTTATTTAATTCACTGCCCTTCCTACTCGGCTTGCTCGTAAAGCCACAAATGGCCACCTATTCTCATATGAATGAATCCATGAATCTACTAAATGAACACCATCGTGTTGAGTTTTACTCATAACTACGTTGAATCACGTCACAACTTTCGCACCGCCTCGGGCCCTCAAAACTAAGGTGTGACAAGTTAATAAAAGGCTCAATATAAATAGAACCTAATTTATTGGACTTTTGAAGTTTCCAACTTGAAACAGGCCGCTGAAAAAGTATTAAGTTGACGCGGAAGCAAATGAAATTCGGAGCTTCCAAATTCGAGTCCAAGACTGAAAACCCATGTTTTTTTCAACTAATCTGAAGGGAGTGACACAAGTCAAAGTCATACAGTCTTGTTCGCTGCGGACGATGGGGCGTCAGGGGATGACGGGCTTGGCGCAGTGCAAGCCCATTATTTTTTCTTTTCTTCTACAAGCGTTAGACTGCATCATATCATCGCACCAGTCGTTTTCCACTAATTGTTGTCACTTGCCCTCTTCAACAACTGTTTGAGAACCGGCTGGCGGCGAGCCAATCCCAGCCTCACCTTACACGCCCCTTCATCGGCTGCGAACAAGACTGTACACTGCTCTTACATGAAACTAATTTCCCAACTCATCAGACTACATGTTTGGAGTTCTGGAGACTAGAGAGCCTTTTCGGCTTCTTTTAGTTTCTGAAAGGTCTTGGAGATCCCTCAAAAAGTGGGGAAGCGTAGGGAAAGGACCTGACAGGCGAGAAGGTTACTAACAAAGACATACTCTGGATGAGTCAAATTTTTCGGAGGTTTTTGTGAAAAAGCCTCTGAAATTCTTACCCCTGTAGAACATTAAATTTAGGTCTCTGGGTTTCCAGGGGGCGTTTTGCACTTTCGCTACTTTTCATCGTCGTGTTCATTGCTTTACAAGGGTTGACAAGTGATTCTCACAAACCTTTACTGGGATCATTTCATGGCTTCACCACATTCACAGATCTCTAGTAGAGTAGACGGCCACACTGATGGGAAGTAGCGAAGGTGCAAAACACCCCTGCCCCACTTAAGCCGAACCGCGCTCAAATTTTTATTCATAATGAAAACTGACTATGAAGTGGAAATCTCATGGAAACGAAGATCATATGTTCGCCACAATTAATTGAAAGGGGCAGTTTGGCGATGGGAGGGGGGGGGAGGTGATATTTTCTTTTTCGCTGCTTCCCATCGCTGTGTAGAGCTACGAGTAAAGATTCGTGAAACCCCTCAAACTATGCAGTCATACCAGTCAAAGTTTGTAGAAACCTGCGAACTCTTGTAAAGCAGTGGACACGACAATGTGAAGCAGCGAAAGTGCAAAATGCACCGCCCCCCCCCCCCTCCGTCGCCACGCCAAACTGCACCATTGAAAGTTTAGTATAGTGCAGTAAGGGAGTTTTTTAGACCTAACCTTTCGGTTGTGATTACTTACCCATCAACCTGATGGAACAACCATTACGCAGTGACCTTTACAAAATAGCGCAGATTTCCCGAGCAGTTTTCAAGAAGATTCAGGGACAAATGAAATCATTCAGGTAGAAGAGAACTCTCGGGGCTCCGTCCAAGAGCACAACTCGGTCGGTTTCCACTATAAGTCCGAGTGTTCTACGGCCATTAATCACTCACCCGGTCCATCCCATGGTTCCATAGCCATAGCTGCCCAACGATAGAATGCCCTTTTGTCGTGGTCCATTTCCTGAAATACAACGACTACCACTTATGCGGGCCTCAAACTCCTCCGACAAAAGTGAAGCAAGGTAATTGAATATATGGAAAAAAATAATTCTGCAAGAACCTCATCTTTCTCCCATGCCTCCGGGACCATCGTCATTGCCGCTTCAGGCAGAGATCGTTGTCCAGCTTTCACGAGAAATTCGCATACATTATCAAAGCATCCTGAGTCAGTTAGGCCCTGAAAAGCCGAAAGGAAGGTAAAAGGTAAGTAAACGTTCATGAAAAACAAAAAGCGGAGAGAGAGTGTGTGTGTGGGACGGCACTAACAAATCTGTTGTTCACCATTTTAGGGTAAAATCCGCTGCAGGGGTGCGTGCCCTGAAACAGTTCGAGCCTAAACTCGTTACCCAGATTGGGTAGCAAAATCGATTGAAGCAATTTTAGCCGCATCATTGCGTAAGGGACACTTCCAGGGGGTTGTCAAAGAGAATTCTGAAAATATCTGACCTCTTCAACTACCGGATAAAGTTTTACAAGATCGTCTTCGTAGAGCGTACTGGACATTACTCCTTCACGAGCTCGCATGAGATTGATATTACCACGAAGTGTATTGATTTCACCATTATGTGCAACCATTCTGTAAATCATTTTTTCGTTTCAGAAAATCAGACACTTGCTGCTTCCTAGGATAATCAGGTACCATGTAAGCTATCCTCTTGTCAGAGCAATGAAAATTCTAAAATGACAGCCTTCATTAGCCCCATCAAGCATTTGGGTGCCCCATTTTTCATTTCTCGGTCTACAATTTGCCGATTCAGCCATGCCTTGTTTTTACGGAGGCATACCCCCTGCTGGTATAAGTGCCACGATATAGTGGTCGCCATGTCACTGAGCCGTAAATTCCTTGCTCAAATACACAGTCGTCAAATGAGTAGAAGCCCTTCCAATAGGCAACAAGTCCGCTACTGCACATATCGTACCTTTCGTCATAGGAAAGGGCGTGGTATGAAACCTGAGGACTTCTATCCTTTCACTGACCGCGCCTGTTCGACCGCTGAATCTTTCCTTCGAAAACAAACTGTACCATCTCCCCGGGGATCACGGTCCTTGCCATGTGCGAGGTGAAGAGGCCCACAGCCGCAGCAGCGTGCCTATCTCAGCTCAAAAAAAGCGCGGAAAATGGAGTGGGGGCAGAGATACATAGGAAACTTTTTGGACCCCGCCCAAGCTGCAGCACGGACGGCCGCAGGCCTGACCATGGCCCAGTGAGCGACTTGTCTGCGCCCTCTCACTTCTAATGTTCTCTACGCCTGAGCGCTACTTCGCTAGGGTTTCTTGGCATCGATACAAGTGCTGCGCCGTGAGGATAGGGAGGGTGGAGTCCCCAATGGCATCTGCGTCTCACTACCCTCCAGCCTTAACTGTGGGTGCTCCCCTTTCAAATGAATGGTGTTTTACTTGTACAAACAGCTGACAACCCGCCCTTCCCGCACATGGGGAGGAGAACCTTGCCTCTAATCTGGCTGTTGTATAATACCCACTTTCATTTCTTGTGTAACTGCATGCTCTCTCGCTCCTAGTGCTCCTGCACCTGTATTCACCATATGCTTGTTCAGACCTGGGAATCAGCCGTGAATTGTATAGGTCGATGGGATTTCATAGAATCTAGTATGTCGATTGGCACCGATAAACCCATGCTCGGACGCCAACATCCACGATTACGACTGTGGAATGTGTCTTTAATGGTTAACGCACAGCTGACCCACGAATCTTATTTGCAAATGTGTGAACGGTGTAAAAAATGTTTTCGCGCTGCCGCAGGTCCCGCAATGCCAAAAAGGGGGCAATTCCAATATTTTAGTTGACTGGCACTTACCGTTTCCCTCCTTGACGCTCTATATTGTTCCACCTTCATCGAGAGTTCGTCCCTTACCCTGCCCTTAGACTGTAGGATTTGGGCTCAAGCTGGCTGCTAAGCGATCGCCCACAAGCGCTGCCTGCTTTTTGCAACGCAGGTCGCTTTGGAACAGTGGTAACCCTTTCTTTTTTCCAATTTTGGACAAAACGTTTAAAGCTACCCGCTACTTTCAGATTTCTGTTATCATCGATATATTGTGCCTAATTGTTATATAGACTCTATTCAAACATCAGGCCGTTTATAACTGCGTCCTTTTTTCAAAAAGGTCCGCTGCAGCAGTAACTATAGAGGACATGTCCGTGCTCTTGGGACCCCCACAAAGTAGGAAGGGTCGCATTTGCCTCTGGGAAAAACTGTTCGATAGGCCACTTTTCTCAATTTTTGCTGTTTCGACTGCGCAAAATCCCCTTCAACTCCTCGTCAGACGGGAGTTTTTTTTCAGAGGAGCTGAAGGGGAGATATTGAGGGGAAAAAGAATGGGGAAGTCCCTGATTTACGAAAAACAACTACACAAAGGTGGTTAAAAGTAGGAATAATTAGAAAAATTCAGAAAGGTGGTAAGAGGAGTGATGGCGAAGGGGAGGGGGGTCATACTACAGAGGGAGCTTTTGAGGGAGACGTGTTTGGCGCAGGCCACATTATTGGTTGGGGATTGTGGTCGAGTCCGTACGACCCCTCCCCTGCTTTTTAGGGGAATGGTGCGTCCTCCTCTAGGGGGTAGCTTGATACGGCTCCCCTCTGGATGAGGCCCCCCTCCCCCTTCCCGCACCACCCTAGTCACCACTTTCCCTGATTTTCCCAACTTCCTACCACTTTTACCGGAATTTCCCGGAAATTTCCCTACTTTTACCCAAAAATTTTTGCGCCGAGCAGGGGGTGGGGTATATTCTACGCATGGAACATGAAACAGGGAAAACCACGAGAAGTCAGCTCAGTACCAGAAAGCCAAAAGTGAAATACGACCCCCCCCCCCTGTTGGGGAATCCCCAACAACGATGTGCCCTGGTTTGGTGAAAATCCTCCCAACGGCAGAACGTGCCCTGAACCCTAGCGAGAGCGCCTAAAGGGTTCTTTCTACAAAACTGGGATTAACATCGCCCGAATAGAATTACCGTAATCTAAAATGGGCAAACTCCGGAATTGTCTCCTCCTTTCAGTTAGGCTAGATCCCATACCTCCATAACGGCGATTCTAATTCTGTGTGAGGAGTCCTCCGAATGCTGCCTCGAAGGTTATCAGCGCTATGCCCGTTATATCACGACAGGGAGCATAGGTATAATCGCAGCGAATGAGAATGACAGGGCGGGTGAAGGGGCACGAGTCGGAGCGCAGTGGGACTAGGAGTTCTCGTCAAGTGTGACGAACATGGGATGATATCATTGGTGGAAAGGCCGTCTTGACAGCGCTCCGATCCGCATCCCGTCACACGCCCTATCGCTGACAGGAAGCGTGCTTTACTATCGATCAACCCTATCGAAGCGCAGCAAGCTTCACAGGGCTGGTTAAAAAATAATCGATAAACAAGTCTGGTTCATTTCCACACCATACTTCATTACGAAATTACAAAAGGCGTCGTCAGGATTTACGTGCCCGTAGGGTAATCGATTTAATTTCACCAGGATAACAAAGCTTAGTAGAAGCGTAACGATGTGCCCTTTGTAACTCCGAAAACTGGCTCCAATCCAAAAAACGAAACCGAATGCGTGGAACAAACAAAGCAGTCAATGCGCTGCTGTCATCATAAATTGTTTCAAGGCCCGTTTCACCTTTAAGCATGGTGATAAGGGGGCTCAGATGTTGACAGGCCATACTATCTTCTAGTGCTCATCCATTTCGAAGCCATCAATCAATACAAAAATATCAGCCATATTTCTTACATTTACACTTTCATAGACAGCAGTCTGAAAAAATCTCTGGAAGCTCCTAATGGTTATCTAGAGGCGTGAATACGGATTCGCACACTCATTTTCCGCGCCAGCGCAGGTCTATGGTCAGGGACAGTCCCGCTACAGGGGGGGGGGGGGGCATCGTGTCTTTTGTTACTTCCCGTCGATGTGTCCAAACATCTATAGAGCCATACGTGGGCTTGCAAGGGTTTACAGTTTTACAATGAAGTAGCTCGACGACTTGCTTCAGCTTCACAAGAGTTCACAGGTTTTACCAGAGTGAGTACTCTGAACCGGAAGTAGTGAAGCAGCGAAAGTGCAAAATGCCCCCCCCCCTCTCTCCATCGCCAAACCGCGCCGAAAATCATGTTCCTGGTCAGAACTCTCGATAATCCACAAAGAGGCTTCAAATTACCACAAAGTACCTTCAAGGTGGCTCTCTCTCACGGTCCATGACTCAATTGTCCTTTTTTGGAATACGAGGACGACAAGGCGCTCGAGACAAGGTGCAACTATGCACAGGTGCGCCTTTTACCCCAGAAATGAGGGTAGTTCCACTCTTATCATCGTAAAGCTTCCCAAGTCAAGTTCTATGTTCCCCCACTCAGCTCTAGTCGTTGATCTAAAGCGCTTTCTCCATTCACTACTGCTACCGTCTCTTCTTTCCACTACCTTTTGTTCCAGGCTGTTCGATTTTTTAACGCTCAATTACGTAGTTTGTAATTAGGAGAGAGTACATCATAAGCTGGAGCTGGCGTCATCCCTTTCATGACAGCAGCAACTAATTACATATTTCAATGCCTCGGAACGACATTGTTCCTGCGAACGATCCCGATAATTAGGATCAATTATGGGGAATTCCTGGCAAGCGCATACCTCATAAGGGTTATATATGTTCGTAGGTATAGTTGATTTCATCGCAGTCGGTCCGAGCATTTTCAGGAGGGGCGCAAAGAGCCTCCTCGCTGCCTTTTCCACATATAATGATCCGTTAGCGATCGATCCAGGGAGAAAACACCTGTGACCGAGAACCCTTCCACGCTTCCTGACACCGCCCCGACAGACTGAGACGATATGGACTGTATATCACACTATCCAGAAGGTATAAGGTTGGCCCATAAGCACTGGAGCTATTTTTCAAATCTGAAAATCTGCGAAAAAGAACAAAGAACATGGTGATGCGTTCTGAACAGTTTGATAGAGATTTCTCTCTATCAAACACTCTCCATAAGAACCCGTCTCTATAAGACTTCATGTTTTGCACCCAACTTTTTCACTGCAGGCGACTAAAATAAATTGTTTAATCAACAAAAATCAGCTTTTTCACCACCCACTTCTTCCTGCGCTGAACTAAAGAGCTAGTGCTGCAGAAAAGCTGCGCTTCGACCTCTTTAGTACCGACACGTACTTGTATTGTGTACGGCTAGAAAGCGATGCCTTCTAGAAAGGCTCAAGATTAGTTCAAGACGCCAAAGATACCAAATTCAATCTCGTTGTTGTGCCCTTACCGAGCGCTTTTTTACAGCACGATGAGGAGTTACTGGTAATTACTGGTAATTATCGCTCATGGTGGAAGTGAATTACTAGTAGTTTCCGCTTATTCAAGAAGATCAACGCGAAACAAGAGTGTGTAGGTAGGGATGACGAAATACTCGCACAACACTACTGGGTGTTTTTTTTCACTCAAGGGGATTTTCGCAGCTTGTAAAGTCTCAAGATCGCGGGTGCATGGGTTGCGAACGCAGTCGCTCGTCATCGAACATAAAAACAGTCCCTGCGCTTTAACAACTCGTAGGCGTCCTTCCTTGTACAAGTAGTCTGATCCTCAGTCTCCGATACTGTCCCGATTTCGCACTCACAACAAGTAATCAAGGCGCTATTACCCTCACAAGTGGCAGTTTCGACGCTCTCTTAGTTGTCCCGCCCACCAGATTTCAAGGGCTATTTTCTATCACGAGTTCACTTTTTATACCATGCTTTTTTGTTTTTTTTTCTTTTTCGTATAGTATTAGCATTGGATGACGCCATGTAACAACTACTAAGCCAGAGGTGGCAGAATATTGCTTTGCTGGCATAAAACGAACAACTTCGGACAAGTCGTACGGCAAGGCTGCGAGATCCTTACATGTTCTATCATTTTTTGCTTTTTTTCTCTGGATTGTCACTTAAAGGCTATAAAATTGTGACTGAACGCCATGTTCACAATATGCAATCTCGTGTTTGTCTCTGAGCAAGAGTAGCCTCATCAGGAGGCTGATCGTCAAATAGTACGAGAGTGAACTTTGGAGAAAAGGGGGAAAACTTGTGAAACAACGAACCTATTAGGTTGCGCTCGCTGCCAACTGGGGAACGTATTTGTCGAGAAACGTGAATGAACAACAGCAATATGAGTGATAAAATCCGGATCTCTCAAATCATCATAGTATCTATATAGTTGATGAGTATTGAACTGACCCTGCAAAAAAGTAATTCACTCAATAAATGATGAACGTACCCTGAAAAGTTATGAGTTTAGCATAACAGGGTGTAAAAGGTTAAATAGAGGAACGCGCAAAGTTTGGAGTTCTGTTAACACACACAGCATTCCCATTCATTCCCATTGCGCGCTGAGCAGACAGTCGGCGTGATGGCGTACGCGATTTGTGTTCACGGGATCGATGCATTTAATTTTACGGGCAGTTTTAGGATACTGTAACCCCCTGTGATCCTGGACTTGCACTCCGCATCCAGGACGTGGCGAGGGGCCGGCCAGATATTATACTTCACCTGAACGTAATGGCGGCTGCGCACCTCGCGGGACAATTCGTTTCAGGCCAATTGTAATCAACTGTCCACCCAAAACAAACAGGATGACAGTTGTCTCAGATGGAAATATCTCACGAAAAACGCAGCGCAGGCCATTTTCGAATAAAGTACGCAGCCACGCCCTTTTCATGTCCGGGGTAGAGAGTGTACATCCTTGTAACTGAAATCGTGCAGCTCAACTTGTTATTATTTACCCACCAAGGAGGTTACAGTCAGTTGCATTAACAGTGGCTGTGATCACTCAAATTAAGTGTAGGAGACATAATGTGGCTCAAATCAGTCCAGGGCACATCACTGGTTGGGGATTTTATCGAGTCTATATGACCCCACCCCCCTCCGGCCCGTCCCTCATCGCATCGAGCCGTCGTTGGTCGATTCGGTAGCTCCTGTCATTCAGCAATTGAGAGGTTTCCTGTTTGGGAGGAGGGGAAGGATGGGGAGGTGCGACTTTCCTGGACTGCTAGAAACTATGTCACAGCGCGTAGCAACGTAGCAATTTATTTTCTTCTTTGGCACGTATTCAACATGCTTGTTTGCCAGGCCACTTGTAGCGACACTTTCAGCACGTTGCGCAATTCGTATTTCCTGAGCCCATACCCGCGACTGAATTGTTACAGGCGGGCTATGAAACGAACGGAAACTGGAAAAAAGGATTAAAGAGGATGAACTGCCTCTGAGCTCGATCCTACGGAAGAAGCAGAAAGAATCGAAGGGTATTCTATCATTTGTTCTACTACCTTATATAAGGAAACGACTCTAGGCTAATCATATTAAAATTTTGACTTTGGCCTAATTCTCAGTTGCATTATGTGCGACATCCAGATAGGTCAGGCGAAGACCACGAAGTTCACAGTCAAATGGATAATGGCTTAAAGCAGGCTTCATTAGTTGGGCATTCTTCAGATGTAGCAGGAAATGTCTCATTTGTGACTTCTCCCGCAGCAAGTCCTGTTTACGGAAATCGGAAGGGCTAACACGTATTACGTGGGACAAAACCTATAGATTCTCAAAAATTTGTTCAGTTTACATAGAAAAGAGCGACTTACGCAGACCACAAACCTTGTAAAGTTAACCACGAACCTTGTAAACAATAGTAGTAGTACTGAGTGAACATATATAACAATCGAGCATTTGTTTGGCCATATTGTTAACAGTTAGTTTTCGTAGCAAGTAAACGTTACGATCGAACCGTTCCGGATCCTCAGCTACATATCCCGCAGTGACAAACACCTGTAAAGAGGGAATAGGATTATTGAGAACTCAGGTAGATACAGGTAGGTACTTACAACATTTATTTACTTGAGTAGACACCACTCTTCGAAAATAAGAACTTTTGCCGTTAAGCTAACCAGAAAGGGGTACAGCTTGGGGATGGGTGAGAGAAGTTGTCATTACAACCTCCTATAGCTTCCTCTTCCGGTACGACCGCACGACTCCCTCTCACACAATATCTACCATCGTGCCAAATTCTTACAGCTTCCTACCACTTTTTCAAAAACTCAACCAGTTTTCCTCAAAAAACGTATATGGAGGATGACCGGGAATTTACCGCGCATGAGGCGGAAAAATTCATCAACTGGAAAAGCTGCTCTCAAGAGGATGCGACCCCCGCCCCCTCCCCACAACCGATCAGGAACAACCCCCATGGGATTCCCCAATGGTTTTGTACCCTGTTTGAGATGCAGCAAGCATTCTGCTTTCATACTAGATGATTGAATGCCATATGACCTATACAATGATTTGTGGGGCCAACAAGCTAGGGTCCTCAATCCTGCCGGCCGAGTCTACCACGAGATCATCAGCTCCCAGGGAGGAAGAATCCGTTGACCTGGGTGATAGGCAATTTGGGATTTGCCCCCTCCCCAAAACGCGCACAGCTAAGTGAGCCACTTTCTACTACGCCACTCCGCCTCAGAGGTGACACTCTTTCACTCTGAATCCCTAGCTTAACTCGGCTTGAAAGTCTTATAATCAAAGTGAGAATGGTACGAATCCCCTCCTTTCGAGGAAACACTCCTTCTCAGGTGTGTGAAAGGAGGATAAAAAACCACCGGATAAAAAAAAGGCAGGCACTATTTACCCTTTTACCGCCCCAATCTTCCAAAAACAGGTCAGTTTTTGCCGGTCAACTATCCCAGGAGGCAACCATTTGAGTCAAATCTGTCCACGGAGAAAAAAGTCAGTCTAAAACTGGCTCAATTCTGGATGGTTGAGCAGTAAAGGGTATGATGCCAAAAGGCATTAAACGCGCTGTCACGATAGTACGGAATTCGTAATTGTATGATAATGATTTAATCGATTTTATAAAAAAAATTTGAGAGATTCCCATTAAGATATACGTACCTGTCGCATCAGAGGCTCGGTCTTTTTTGCCTCCGCTCCGAGGGACTCGCGATTCGTGCCAAACTTCCGCCAGCTGATCACTCGAACATTGCAAGCTCGAGCCAGATCACCAAACGCTTCCTGCATGAAAATGCTTTCTGACTTTGTTCCAAAACGGAAATTCTTTTCAAGAAGCGAAACAATTACTGCACATCCAAGATTCTGCTTATCAGGCTAGAGCTTTCAACCGCTCTAAGCCAAATTGATCTCTGTGCCTACATCAGACCTTTCCAAGGCACCAAACCAGTTAAGCGAGGTCGCGGCGGCCTACAACACCATTCTCTGGCCGACGGCATAGGCTCAGGGTGGACGGTACAACTAGAACATTTCGCGGGGGTCCTGGCGCGAAAGACAAGGGCAAAAGTGGTGGACTATGGCAGACAATGCACTGAAACATACAAGAAACAGATGAGACAGGGAGTGACTTTTTTCGGGTGGGAGGGACCGCTAAAACTTTCATGCAGACGGAGAGCGCAGAGAAAAACAGAAAGTTGGCGCGATTAAAGGGACTGATGCTGGTTCCCCATAAACCACTTATGGGAAATACACGGCAAGGGTAGCGCATTTCATAGCCGCATAGAGCAGACGTAGTCGCGCCGCCGCCTGGCTCCGCTCAATTAAGTTAGCCCGCAAAGAGTTTCTGTAAGGGTGGTAATTTGCGGCTCCGTAGGGGCAAGCAGCTTAAAGTAGCTGTCAAGCATACACATACTTCCCCTATAAAGGGAGTGTACTTGACTGCAGCTATGATGATAGTTGACGTCAATAATTACACTCGCAGTACCCGATATGTGGCAGGCGTGGCCACGTATTTCAACTGTGGCAGTGGCTGCGCTTCTAATGGGATATTTTCATTTGACACAGATTTGGCCATGTCTCTGTCCAACAATGAACGGGATGACAGTTGTCTCGAACTGAAATATCCCACGAGTAACCCATTCTATGCCATGTTCAAATGCCACGCCTACTCCGTCTCAGGGATAAGGAGTGTATATGTGCGAATGACAGAACCTCTTGCAACATCTCGTTTGTTAGGCGTTTAAAGGCAGTTGGCACGATGGTTTCCTACTTAGCCTAAAATGCTAGTAGGGCGCTGTATAGTGGGGAAATGGCGAAAGAACGGAGTGAAACGGTCAAAATCCGGCGAAGAAAAAGCCTCCGTTCTCAGTGACTTGTAAATCGATTTCGGACGAGTTTCCCGTACGCATCTTGCCAATCACCGCTACCGAAGATACGGCTGCATATGTGTACCCATATATGCATGCAGCATCACGGCCGCTTCATACCAATCCCTTTGCTTCATAATTTGCTCAGCAAATGAATGAATACGAGCGTCAGAAACGGTCGTCCGTTTGTGGGCGGGCGGGCAAGGAAGGCGTTTGGGACGTAAAGTTGTTGCTCAATAGGGCGTTATAGGGTACCCTCCTTGGAAAAGGCTTCACGCAGCGCCTGTCCGAGGTCACGGAATTCTGTTAAGCCAGTTGTACAAATCCTACACCTGTATAGCGATTTATCGTGCCAACTGCCTTTAAGAAGTCTTGATGACTTCTTGAAATTCAATTCACCATCGCCTGGAAGATTTCTCCCAGAAATAAAATTCAGAATGAAATATTGTGGTGGAATGTGATCTACGACTGTAAAGTAACATTCTACCAAACGGCCAAGATGTGATTAACTTAGTTCTCAACCTAAGAAAATCATTCTCTTACAAAGATCTTCATTCATGAGTGCTATGTATTGTATTAAGGACAGACCCTGCAGTTATATACGGTATACCATTCGCACGGTATACCGTATGTAACTGCTACTTGTGACGGCCGCAACGCCCTCGTCACTGTGGAGCCGCGGAAGCGGAACAATCTTGCGATCACGCACCGAGCTGCCAGGGCAAGGGAGGAACTACTGGTTGAGCGCGGAATCTGTCTTCAAAAATATGCAAAACTCCTCTACCGTAACCTCGTGCTTCCCGCAAGTCTTATCATTTGGACCCTTTTTCTCTATCGCTATAAGCATTCCACCTCACCATTACTCCTTACTTCGCATATTCACTCTTAACTCTTGAACTAGAACAACATTTGAACTCTGTCTATGGTAGAGTAGCCAGGAAAGTTTCAAGATAGTCTTAGGGTTACAATTAACAGAAGCCGCTCAGCTTTCATCAGTAGTCTCATCTCCTTCTGATACGCCACGCATTACAGTTTTGATCAGGAAAGAAGTCGCAGTTGCATGTAGAAGTTGTTCATTGAGACAAAGCTCTCCAGTTTTCGCCGTTGATTTGCAATGTGCCGGTCCTGTCAAGCTTCCGCCCTTCACAGTGGTCTTATTCAGTTCCCTTCTAAGAGAGTGCGAGACGGAAACTAAGCTTGTTCTTCAGAAAAGCCCCTCGAAATCGCTGCTGTAAAATCGAATAAATAAATAAACAAAGTAAATAATAAATCAAGCTATTGACTTGTAATATGAATGGAAGGAGTTTACTTTCTTCAATGACCGACGAAGATATCGGTGCTTCGATCCTCTCTGACCAATATTATGTAAGCTGTCAACGGGTATGTTACAAGACAATCGCCTGGCTGGTGGGCGTGGCAGGCGACGCCGCGTTGAGACGAGTTCTCCTGCCCAGCGCTTCGCAAACTATAAGTGGGGGAAGAGGAATTTCGATATCGCCCTTCATGAACAGTTTCGCTGCTCCATTCACCCAGCGAGAAGTTGCCGCGCATGCCGCGCGCGACGATGCGATGAATTAATTCTCTTGCCCGTCTCCCGCTGTCAATATTAGAGAAGTGTGAGGCTTAGTTATTACGAGGCGTTCTCGGTCTCAGATCCAATCTCTTGACAGTGCGCACTGTAGCCGGGTAACATGTCACTGCCGCATGCTGAATTCAGGGATGGAAGATCGAAGGAAGTTTGAGGAATCATAGATCTGCTTGTCCCTGACGAGGCCCCACAAATTGGTCTGAGTAACGTCCCCTGCCACTATTAGTCTTGCATCTCAATAGCCTCGGCAGTTGACTTGTCGTAATGAACCTATGCCTAAACACCTGCATGACTTGCTACGATAAACACCCCACTCGACCTGGAGTCTCGAAAATCAGTGGTTTCGTGGGCTCAAAAATGGCACATTTCGAGGCCTATAAGTTCCGTAACCAGTTCCGTGTGCCGACTAGCATGAGCAATAACTGGAAATAAAAAAAAGAGAAAAGATAGACCTACATGTTTACTTTTTTCTCGACCTTTTTCTTTTCCGGGTCTTGCCAAACTATATTTCGCGACATCATGTGGCGACCGCCGCTTCGAAGTTTCGGTGCGATCCCCCATCTCGCCTACCATCTCCCCGTATTCTCCTTTCTTCTCTATCATTTTCTGGGGTTTTTTTCCCGACCCTTATTCAACAGTTGCTTTCGAAGTTCGAATAGCTTCGTTTATAAAAGCCGACGAAAATGTTCGCATGCCTTGGCGCTTCGCCAGCGCCAATGAGCAGCTGGCGACACACTTCCTTTATTCATTTGGAGTTAAGTTTGTATGTCTAAGGGCTAGACAGAAAGTGCACTCAACATTCCTTTTGTGAACAGTCTCCATGGAATTCTCATCTCGTGGTCTTTATTTGCCACGATCACGGGTTCGCGCAAGTCTAGTCATAGCCATTGCTATACGTGACGACTTCGTAGGCGCTACTAGTAGCGACTACAGGTTTTAGATGTTTTTCTACAGGTTTTAGGTATTTCTAGCCTGCTATGCAACTTGTCGTGTGACCCATCCATGCACCAGACGGACTTTCGGACCCATTTCACAATAAAAAAACAGGGGCAGTGCGGGTCTTGGAGAACTCCTCAAGCTTCAGGCACACAATGGGCAATCCGAATTGCTACAGTACCTCACACTGTCGGGACAAGATCATCTCAGCTCGCACTCTGTATTTTACAGCTTTTACTTGAGCCTTCATTACAATTCATACTTCTTTTATTTTTCTACTCTCTTGTCCAATATAATCCGAAAATAATCACTCTCACCTTGGCTTGCTTGTAGGAGTCCTTATTGAGAAACAAGATACCGGTGGCATACTGGCCAGGAGGCGGTAGATCCACACCATCCTGTCTGAAAATTCATTAATTAATAATAAAAGTTGGGCACTTTTAGGGGAAGTTCGCTAGGGCGTATCGTATTGTCTACGAAGTTTCACACCAGAATTGACGAATGAAAAGTTAAATTATATGCTACAAGTATAAGATGTATTGGATTCAAGCAGATCTAAGTAGAGAGGACAGGAAAACACTGGCTTATTCACCACAGATAGGAAGAGCAGAACGATCATTGGTTGACAAATGATAAAGGAAATGGGACCGTGACAAGAGGAGCTATTGCTACATGACTGGTCCCCTGGCCCAGTTTCACCGAGGTTAACAAGCCCTTCATCACCGCGATTACGGCCATCGGTCCCCACGCATTTTTTTCTTCGACTACTGGGTACGAATGGGAACGAAGGTAACTCAGATACTGGTTGGTCTGGAGAAAGAGCCTCTTTCGATATCGAACACCAATCCTACCATATATAATGTATGTATACTGTCTAGATTTGAACAGCAGTTGATTTTTTATGAATTTTTTTTGTTTTTCTTAGTTGTTTGCTTTAGGTATTTGTTAATTCACATTGCCACATTGTTTTATTTGGTTCTAACATTCGTTATGCGTTCTAACGCACGCATAACGTACGCATAGTAAATAAATGAATAAATAAATAATCCACATATATATGGATATATATGGATATATATAGTGATATCAGCTGATAAGATTTGATAAGAGGCGTCATAAAGGAGAATCACGAGTCCATGGCACGGGTCACAGCAATAGTGAAATGTATGGTAAAGGGTACGGGACGGAACATTGTTGGTGGGTTATAGGAAGTGATATCAGCAGATAAGATCTGATTTGGCGAATCAGAATGGGAAGGCCACCATAATAATAACACGGGACACAGCATCAGATAGGCGTTGAATCCAGCAATTGATATAGAGAGGGAGGTAACCTAAATATTAGCGCCTCCATTGATTTATGCGGCTTCAGCGAGTAGACTGCATGGTAATGGAAAAGGTAAGCGCTCATCGTTAGGCATTTTGATTCAGGTAATGGGAACGGAATTTGTTCTGAGCGATTCATATTACGCTATATTGTCCAACTTTACTTTCTATCTATATCTGTAGATCTATGTATAGTGTGGACGTTATGGCGAAACTACCACCTCACCTGCAAATATAAGCGTGGAGTCTGGAATGCGGAATTCGCTGGGTTACTCTATCTATTACGATTCCGATCAACACAGCGCAATATGAGCAGCTCAGTGAATGAACGAATTCCGTTTCAATTATGAAGGTCAGCCCGGCGAAGCTGGGCTAAAGAGAAGGAGGAGAGTTCGTCGTCAGCGAGGCGATCCGAATTTGCTTACAAGAATATTCAAACAGGGCACGTCCTGCCGCTGGAAAATTTTTTCGGAAAATACGACCTCCCCTCGTTCCCTCTTATGATGCGACCCCACTTCCGCATAACACTACCACTTTCCCAGATTCTCCCAGGTTCCTATCTCTTTTTCCTGAATTTAACTAAAGTTTTCGACTTTTTTCCCCAAAATTTTGCAGTCGTATGAGGGGAAGGGGGTAATTACTCATCCCCTTATAGCGCTCGTGAAACAAGAAAGATCAAAAAAATTTAAGGACCAAATGCGACCCCCTCCCCTCATCTACGAAATACGACCCCTGCTGTGGGCTGCCTAATGTACGACGCGGTCTGTATTCAAGATCGTTTTACAGTAACAGGTAGTCAGAGTACAAGAACACGATAAAGTGCAACGAAGTCCTGCGTAGCAGCCAAAATCACGTGATCGGTTAGTACAGAAGGATAGTTTTCGCCGTTAATCAATTCCTTTTTGGGATGCGGCAAGTATCTACATCCGTACAGAATCTTAGTTGTTAATGAATGCCATGGGGTACACAAAATGACCCGCGAGGCCAACCGATGTATAAATTCAATGCTCTGATCCTGCCGGACAAATCTGGTACCAATTTACAGTCTCCAGAGAGTAGAAGGCTTGGCTAACTTGGGCGAGATCCGAGCTGGGATTTGACCCCACCCCCCCCCGCGTGTGGTAAACGTGACGCTTGCCACTATGTACACCATACGCGCCTCAGAAATTAATCCAATAAATAGCCGTGCCCATGATGAATCCAGATATCTGAGGAACATGCTTTTCCATGAGGCATTAATTACATG